TTAGGCATTTAATTATAAATTTTGATTTTGTCTGTTTGGGGTTCTGAGTGCTTCCTCTATCTGGATATCCATCTCATTCTCAATGTTTGGAAATTTTTCTATTATTATTTCCCTTAAATGATTTAGATTGAGACCCCCTTATAGGTGTGGTGTACACAATCTTTGTGTTAATTCTGTTTTATCCATTTCATTAGCCTGCATCTCACAGTTCTCAATTCCAATGATTTTTAAATTTGATATCCTAAGGTTGTCCCAGAGTTCTTGTATATTCTAATCATGGTTATTTATTTTCTTTTCTTTAATACTGTCTGAATGGTCAAGGGTAGCCACTTTGTCTTCCAGATCTGAGATTCTGTGTGCAGCATGGTCTACTCTATTAGAGAGACTTTCAACTGAATATTTTATTTGATTTATTGTGTCTTTCATTTCTAAGATTTCTGTTTGGTTCTTTTTTAAGATCTCTATCTCCTTATTGAATTTCTAATTTATATCCTGTACCAACTTCCCTAACTTATTTGGTTATATTTCTGTGTTCTCTTGGAATTCATTGAGCATTTTAAATCCTTCTTTTGAATTATTTATCTGGTATTTCATCCACTTCAGTATCTTTGGGGTCAGCTGCTGGTGAATTATGAATTTTAGGAGGTGTCATGTTATCTTGTTTTTTATATTTCTTGTATTCCTGTGTTGGGTTTTATGCATCTGTTGGGATAGATTTTTCATTCATTATTATGTGTTGACCTTTTGGGGACACAGCCTTCTCTTGCCCAAGTGTCCTAACGTGATCTAGATTGAGACCCCCTTATAGGTGTGGTATACACAATCTTTGTGTTAATTCTCTGCTTTTGCTGTAGCACTTGATGTCCATGAATGGAACCTCAGGGCCCAACCATAGCTATTCCTACTTGGGGCTTGGTCATTGGTTTGGGTTTTGGCTCTTCTATATTTTGTATTAAAGTATAGATGAAGTCTGAATGTCATTGATTTGTGTGTGGAGCAAGTTGTGCTGTCTTTTGGCCAAGTTTAGTTCAGCAGAAGAGTCTCTATCCCGTGAATTTGTAGTGCCCCTGTAGGTTCTTAGCACCCCACAAGATAAGGGAAAACAAACAATAATAACAACTGATACAAACAATATAAAGCATTAAAATAAGTATCCAGTTCCTACTATGATATCTGCAACATTAATTACCACCAAAAAAAAAAAGAAAGAAAAGACAAGAAAAAGAAAACAGGAATGGTGGGGTCAGCAATTGTCAATAGCAAAAACAACAAATAACCATGAACTAGATCTGGCTTTAAAAGAAACAGAATCAACTATGTCACCCACAGAAAAAAATAATTGCTACAAGATGAATGGTGAGAACAGGAGTTAGATAAATCAGTTAGCTCTAAAAGATGGTAAAAATACAGTGAAGAGAAAGAAAAATGTGATAGAAAGGTAGAAGAGAGTTTAAAATGTTTAAAAAGTGAACAGAGAATGCAGAAGAGTTGTAACAGGTGATGTTTATAAGGAAGGAGGAGAAAATAAAGTAAAGAGAGAGAAAGAACAAGAGAATTCAGCTCTTAGCAGGAGAAGAGAGAGAAAGAGAAACAAGATACAAACAAACAGAAACAAAACCAAAATAAAATTTAAAAAAACCCCTAACCCCCAAAAGATAATGCAATGAAAAATAACTATATTTTCAAATGTTAAAAATGAGAAAAAATGAACATATATATCTATGTATGTTCATAAACAAATCAGCACAGCAAAACACACAGACACACACACACACACAAAAAAAAAACTAAACTAAAACTAAAACCAAAATGGCCAAAGCCAAAAGATTATTAATGAAAAATGGAGGAATCCTCTCCATTGAGGCAGTCAAAATAGTCAGCAAGAATGGATGCTGTCTATGCCCAACTCTGCTTCTTTCAGTTTCTTCATGGGTTATGTAAAAAGAAAGAGAGACCAAGGGCTGGAGTTTATTAACCCCTTTCTCTTTTTGTGCTGTTTACCAAGCTGCKGATTGCAGTGGTCTAACACTGGGGCTAGTTGAAATAGCTCTCAGCTTTCCTTCTTACCAGTATAAGATAGGACGGAAAGGGAGATACTGTTAATTAAAGTTTTGTCTTCACAGACCTGATTGACGCACTCTTGAGTTGGAGTAGAGATCGCTGCAGAGTCCTATGAGGGTCTTACAGCAGCTGAGGTTTAGGTCTAATCAGGCCTTAGGGGCTTTGTTGGGTGGTATCTGCTCTAGAAAGATTAGATCAATATAATCCTAAGCCCCCCCACCCCAGCAAGTTTCCTTGTCTCTGCTGGAAGTCTAGATCTCCTGAGCCTCCCCGGAATTCTACTCCTGGGCCAGGGAAGCTAATCCTCCACACACTCTGCTGCCCAGAAACACAGCCTTCCCAGGTTCACTCCCTGAATACATGCACATGTGCCTGCTCAGATTCCTGACCCACTTCCGCTGCTTATGTGAGCCTCCCCAGCAAAGGAGAAGCAAGTTGTGCTCCCCTTCACTCCTCTGACTTGAATCCCCCTGGGTACAATCTTCCCTGTGCCTATTGCACTCAGATTTTGCTAGGTACACAGGAAGCTTTCCATAGGTGCTTGCCAAGACAGTGTTTGCTCAGATCTCCTGGTTCCTACAGCAGCAGCTGCAGCATGGCCACCTCAAGATGGCTCCACCTCAGTTCTCCATGGCCAGTTGGGAAACACTAGCACTTTTCAAACATCAGTTCACACTGCAACCTCTGGATCAACCAAGTTCAGGCTGCTTTAGGATCTGAGGATTTTCTGTACCAAATCTGCTCCTTGTGTTTCTGGGTATTATCTCTCCCCTCCGTGGTGAACCAGTGCCACTGCCATTGCCACCACCAGCTTGGCTCCAATGTATTCTTTCTTCTCAGTTCAGTGCACCCACATTTCTGAGTCTCTAAGACACTCTGACTGCCCAATATTGAATTTTAGTGAAATCCCTCTTTCACATATATAACTGCAAAGCAGCACTCCTGCTGTGTGAATCCCGAACAACAGAGCAACTAGGAATGCAGCCTTCTTCTAATCTGCCATCTTGAATCTCCCTCTCTAGATGAGCTTTTGCAAGAAATGCCAAATACATTTGGGTCAAATTTGCAGTTTGGCTAGACTTTGTATTTGGTTACCCATTAATGAAAACAAAACAAGAGTCCTTAAATCTTTAATTTCAAAAATTACAAATCTTTTTAAATGCATTCATTTTCTCTATTTTAATATTTCTGTTTTATTCAATCCTCAGTGCTTTTTATCTCTYTATATTCAGATATTTTGCTTTCTTGTTATTCCCCTTAGTTAAACCAATCTGTTGATTTATCTTTTTGACTCTGATTTAGTAGGTCTGGGGGCCTGAGAATTTGCATTTTAGCCAGTTGCCAAGTGATGCTGCTGCTGATGCTGGCCTGGAGACCACACTTTGAGGCCATCACTCTTGATCTTGTCTGCACAATAGAATTACCTTGGGATATTTTCAAAAGGACTAATGCCTGAAAACATCCCATCACTCCTTCAACTACTTGCAAGAGTCTCAGGCTTGCAGCCCCAGGTGAACCTAGTGTTTAGCCAAGGTTTAGAGTCTCCAAGGATCCAGTATTTTTAGACCTTGCAATTCAACAGAATACCTAATGGTAGTATCTTTGTCAGTTCCACATCCATAATTCAGGTGAAAATGATTTTTAATAAAGTTCAAAACTCGTACTGTCTTTCATGCCTACTTTCAGGAAGGCTAGACCAGCTTTAACTACTGGTCTTTTCTTGTACTTTCTGCAAGTCACAAGAACTAGACAACAAAATTCATTATCCAAACATTTTACTGCCAAGTCTTGGAAAGTTCTAGCCTGACAGTATGGACATCTTAAGTCCAAAAGACAATAAGTGATGATTTAACCAAAGCATTGTAACTATGTTTTAAAAAATTACCAGCTTCCAAGTTGTGAATAGCTTGTTTTCCTGTACCCAAACCCATCTCCACTTACCCAGTTTCACACTCTAAAGTTTATTTGCAATATTCTGCTATGGGATCCAATTCTGTATTACTTAGGATTCTGGTTTCAAATTACAAGAACACAACTTTCACCAAGTTAAGCCTAAAAGGGAAAAATATTATAAGGATAAAAGAGTGTATCAACTAGTTAGGAGTTATTGATTTCATAACCAAGTTTATAATCACCTAGGAAAGAAGGGTATGCTGTAAATTATGACTATAAAGCTGTTAAAATAATATCAAATCATGGAATTTGCAGGGAAATGGATGGCATTAGAGCAGATTATGCTAAGTGAAGCTAGCCAATCCCTAAAAAACAAATGCCAAATGTCTTCTTTGATATAATGAGAGCAACTAAGAACAGAGCAGGGAGGAAGAGCAGGAAGAAAAGATTAACATCAAACAGAGACATGAGGTGGGAGGGAAAGGGAGAGAAAAGGGAAATTGCATGGAAATGGAAGGAGACCTTCATTGTTATACAAGATTACATATAAGAGGTTGTGAGGGGAATGGGAAAAAAAAACAAGGAGAGAAATGAATTACAGTAGGTGGGGTAGAGAGAGAAGATGGGAGGGGAGGGGAGGGGGGATAGTAGAGGATAGGAAAGGTAGCAGAATACAACAGTTACTAATATGGCATTATGTAAAAATGTGGAYGTGTAACCGAWGTGATTCTGCARTCTGWATTTGGGGTAAAAATGGGAGTTCATAACCCACTTGAATCTAATGTATGAAATATGATATGTCAAGAGTTTTGTAATGTTTTGAACAACCAATAAAAAATAAATAAAAATAATAATAATATCAAGCAGTTTTAAGTAAGCCTTGGAAAATATTAGACATATACATACATATATATACACACACACATATATAGGTACACACACACACACATATACACTACTTGTATAAGGTTATATACTTAATTTGACCACATGATTTCAATGATTAAAGTATAATACTAAAATACTCATTGTGTTACTTTTTCCAGGGAATAAAGTTAAAGCTTTGACATGAATGAACAAGAAACTCTACCTGAAATGATCAAAGACTGGACCAAAGAGCATGTTAAAAAATGGGTAACTGAAGATCTTAAAATTGATGAGAAATATGGACAAATGTTGCTCAATGAAGAAGTGTCAGGATTAGTTCTGCAGGAACTAACTGAAAAGGATCTTAAAGAAATGGGGCTACCACGGGGTCCAGCACTTCTGATAAAACGTACATATAACAAATTGATTAATAGTTGCCCTAAAAATGACAATCAGGATTCAGCACAATCAGATCTTACAAAACCTTCCAAAAAAGAACAACAAAAAAAGCCAAAACAAACCAAAAAGGAGGAGGAAAAAATGTCATCCGGTATTGATCATGATCTCAGAGAGATCGGGGATACCACAGAACAACAGTCCATTCTTACGAAAGAAAGTGCATTAAGTGAAAGAACAAACACTAAAKATGAGAAAAAAAATGAACTACAGACTGAACAGTTGACTTGTATGTCATATCCTTTTGATCACTTCCATGACAGCCATCGCTACATAGAACATTATATTCTACAGCCTGAAACAGGACCACTGAATCTCATTGACCCAATTCATGAGTTCAAAGCTCTCACCAACACGGACACAGCCACAGAAGAGGACATCAAAATGAAATTCAGCAATGAGGTCTTCCGGTTTGCATCTGCTTGTATGAATTCACGCACCAATGGTACCATCCATTTTGGAGTCAAGGACAAACCTCATGGAGAAATCATTGGTGTGAAAGTCACCAGTAAGGATGCCTTCATTAACCACTTCAATCTAATGATCAAAAAGTATTTTGAAGAAAGTGAGATCAATGAAGTCAAAAGGTGTATTCGGGAGCCAAGGTTTGTGGAGGTCCTCCTGCAGAACAATACATCGTCTGACAGATTTGTCATTGAAGTCGACATCATTCCCAAACACTCTATATGTAAAGAAAAGTATTTCTATATTAAGATGCAATGCTGTACAGATAAAACGTGGAAACAACACCAAGATCATTCACTATTCATTAGAGAAGGAGCTAGCTCTAGGGATATCTTGGCCAACAGCAAGCAACGGGATATAGATTTCAAAAAATTTTTACAAAATTTAAAGTCTGTGGTAGCATCTAGAAAAGAAGCTGAGGAGGAACATGGGATGAAGGTGACTAAGAAAAAGAGCGAAGGATTAAAACTGGTTAAGCTTCTCATCGGGAACCGAGAATCATTGGATAATTCCTATTACAACTGGTATATTCTTGTAACAAATAAATGCCACCCAAATCAAACCCAGCACTTAGATTTTCTTAAGGAAATCAAGTGGTTTGCTGTGTTGGAATTTGATCCTGAATCTGTGATCAATGGAGTGGTCAAAGTTTACAAAGAAAGCCGAGTAGCAAACCTTCACTTTCCAAGTCAGTATGAAGAAAAGACAGCTAGTGTGATAGAGAAGATTTCTACTCTGAATCTTTATGARCAGCCCAGCTGGATCTTCTGCAATGGCAGATCGGACCTGCAAAATGAGACCTATAAACCTCTAGAACCACATTTATGGCAGAGAGATAGAGCTTCTGAAGTCAGAAAACTGATTTTATTTCTCACAGATGAAAATATAATGGCAAGAGGGAAATTTTTGGTGGTATTTCTCTTACTCTCTTCGGTAGAAAGCCCAGGAGACCCACTGATGGAAACTTTCTGTGCCTTCTATCAAGCTCTCAAAGGAATGGAAAATATGTTGTGTATCTGTGTAAACTCACAGATTTATCAAAGATGGAAAGATCTACTACAGACAAGATTGACAATCTCAGATGAGTTAGCAAACCATACTATTTCCACTTTAAATATAGAACTGGTAAACAGTACTATCCTTAAACTAAAATCAGTGATTCAGTCATCACAAAGGTTTTTGCCCTCCAGAGGAGGCGCCTCAGTTATCCTAGAGAAAAAGGACGAGGATACCTTGGTCGCACTGGAAATCCTCTGTGAAAATGAATGTAAAGACACAGACATAGAGAAAGATAAGTCTAAATTCCTAGAATTTAAGACATCAAAAGAAGAACACTTTTATCGCGGTGGCAAAGTATCCTGGTGGAACTTCTACTTTTCTTCTGAAAACTATTCCTCACCTTTTGTGAAACGGGACAGATATGAAGACCTTGAACGTATAATAAACGAGTGTGCAGAATGTCCTAAACCACTATTTGTGAAAATTATCAACCTTTATCACCATCCCGGCTGTGGAGGTACTACACTGGCTATGCATGTTCTCTGGGACCTAAAGAAAAAGTTCAGATGTGCTGTGTTAAAAAACAAAGCAACTGATTTTGCAGAAATTGGAGAACAAGTAAGCAAGTTGATCACCTACAAGGCAAACAGCCACCAGGATTATATTCCTGTGCTTCTCCTTGTGGATGATTTTGAAGAACAGGAGAATATCTACATTCTGCAGAATGCCATCCATTTCAATTTAGGAGAGAGAGGTTTGCTCTATGAAAAGACATTGGTAATTATCTTAAACTGCATGAGATCCAAGAATCCAGAAGAAAGCGCCAAATTAGCAGATAGTGTCTCCCTGAAATCCCAACTTTCTCCCAAAGAACAACGAGCTTTTGAGGTCAAACTGGAGGAAATTGAAAAGCAGCACAAGAACTGTGAAAACTTTTATTCCTTCATGATCATGAAAGGCAATTTTGATGAAGCATATGTAGAAAATGTAGTAAGGAATATCCTCAAAGAACAGAACATTGACACCAAGGAAGCACAACTCGTTTCTTTCCTGGCTTTACTCAACACTTACGTTACTGATTCTACAATTTCATTGTCACAGTGTGAAATGTTCTTGGGAATTACATACACTAGTACATTCTGGAAACCTGAAAGCCTAGAAGACAAGATGGGAACCTATTCTACACTCTTAATAAGCACAGAAGTTGCTGATTATGGGAGATACACAGGGGTGCGTATCATTCACCCTCTCATTGCCATTTACTGCCTAAAGGAACTGGAGAAAAGCTATCACCTAAATCAATGTCAAATTGCCTTGAATATATTACATGAGAATTTGTTCTATGATTCTGGGATAGGAAAAGACAAATTTCAGCACGACGTGCAAACTCTCCTGCTTACAAGGCAGCGCAAGGAGTACGGAGATGAAACAGACACGTTGTTTTCCCCATTAATCGAGGTTTTGCAGAATAAAGAAATTGAAAAGGTCTTGACTGAAGGAAGTATTCGATTCCCACAAAATGCATTCATTTGTCAGGCCTTAGCAAGGTATTTCTACATTAAGGAGAAGAATTTTAACACTGCTCTGGACTGGGCAAATTTGGCCAAAAGACGAGCACCTAAAAATTCCTATATCTCAGATACACTTGGTCAGGTCTACAAAAATGAGATCAAATGGTGGTTGGATGAACACAAAAACTGTACAAACATTACTATCAAAGACCTAACTCATTTCCTAGATGCTTCTGAAAAAGCCTCCAGAGCATTCAAAGAATCCCAACTGCAAACTGATAGTAAAGAATATGAGATTCAAACTTGGTCACCACAAAAGTCCCAAAGAAGGTATGATACATATAATACGGCTGGGTTCTTGGGTGAAATAGAAGTTGGTCTTTACACTATCCAGATTCTTCAGCTCACTCCCTTTTTCCATCGGGAAAATGAATTCTCCAAAAAATTTATGGCCCAATTTCTATCTGGAAAGGAGGGCATTCCTCCTGATCCAAAAAATGAATATTATTTGGCTCTTAGCATGTACACATCCCACCTACAAAATTTACAATCAGATTTGAAAAAGTGCTTTGATTTTTTTATTGATTACATGGTTCTCCTGAAAACAAGGAACAYCCAAAAAGAAATGGCAGAAGTCATATTAAGCAAGAAAGTCAGTCGCTGTTTCAGGAAATACAAAGAAATTTTCTGCCATTTGGATTTAAGTCCTTTAGAAGGCAAAGAATGTCAGTTGCTCCAGGAGGAGAATTGCAGGAAAAGTCTAGAAGCTTTGAGAGCTGATAGGTTTTCTGGACTCCTGGAATATCTTAATCCAAACCACAAAGAGGCCGCAACCATCATGGAAAGTATAGTCGATAAATACACCTTCCTGTTGCAGCAGAACCCAAATAAACGGCTGACGAAGGAGAAACAGAATTTCATTTTGGCCAACATCATTCTCAGTTGTCTAAAACCCAATTCCAAGTCCATCCAACCACTTACCAAGTTAAAAAAAATGCTCCGAGAAGTCTTGCAATTCGTAGGACCAAGTCATCTGTATTCTGATCCTTATTTCTTGGCCTGCCTCTTGTTCTGGCCAGAAAACGAAGAACTAGATGAAGATTCCAAACAGATGGAAAAGTATGTTTCCTCTTTAACTAGATCTTTCCGGGGACAGTACAAGCGCATGTGCAGGTCCAAGCAGGCAAGCACCCTTTTCTATCTAGGGAAGAAGAAGGGTCTCAACAGCATTGTTCACAAGGCTGAGATAGAGAAGCACTTCAGTAAAGAACCAAATATAAATGCCCTCTGGCAGAGTGGACGTGTGTGGGAGAAACAAGAAGTCAAAGATCTCCTGCGTCAGCTGATTGGTCAGGCCGAAGGCAAGTTAATCTCTATAGAATATGGGACCGAGGAAAAAATAAAAATACCAGTGACATCTGTGCATTCAAGTCCCCTCAGAAGTGGCAGAAATATAGAAAGAGTGTCCTTCTACCTAGGATTTTCCATCGAAGGCCCTATGGCATATAATGTAAAAGTGATTTAAAAATGTATTAGTTCAAACATGTTTATTCATATCTGCCTAAGATTGTGTTCCTTCTCCCTATTACCACGGCATTTTCATGACATTGTTGGCTTAATTCTAGTATCATATTTTGCTTTGGTCTCTCTGAATGAATTATAAGCCTTTCTAGAAAATGAAATATGTTTACACTACAGAGCTCAACATACAGCCTAGTCAGTTACTTAATATTTTAGACATGTATTTTCAAGCTAACACATTTAACTAAGAAGTTTTAAATGGTATCCARTGGTCAGACCATAGTTGTTTTATAGGTTAATAAAATCTATTTTAAATTCAATCATTTTTCAGAAATTTCTAAATTATTTCCTCACTGTGAAAGCAGGGATTTTACTAAGAAGAAACAATAACAAAAAACTCCTCCCATGTGTAGTGACCCGAAACCCAGAGAACCAGCCCCGAGTTCCACTCTCCTCATTTTGGTGTCAGTAAAAACTCATGCGGGAGGTAAATATTTTGTTGTTCATTCTCCATTTTACTCCTTCCCAACACACACACACACACACACACACACACACACACACACAACTGCTTGTACCCATTGCCCTCTCCCAACTCATAGCTTCAAGAGGGAAGCAGAGCTTAAAAATGATAGTAATACCAATATTCACTAACTGGAAGTCCCTTAATTCACTTGCCTCGTTTAGAGGTGAATCTGTTGCCTTGAATGTAGCCTTGTCTCCACCTGGTTTTTAGAACCCATATTCCCTATTCACTTTTTCCATTCACTGTACTTCATTCTCTTTACTCCTCAGCGTGTGCTAGATGCATGCTGTTCTCTTTGAGATTCCCTTATTTTCATGCAACATTCTCCAGATGATTATTCTGATTTGGCCTTCACAACTGGGTTCAAGACTCACTTCCACCAGGAAATCTTTCCTGACCACCAAAATCCCTGCCTCATTAGAGGCCTTCCTTGTGGCAAAACAGGCTCCTCACTTCCCAGTGCCAGCAATGACATCCCAGAAGCTCATTCTCAGACCTGCAGCAGCCACAACAGTCTCACACTGCCTGCTGGAGCCAAGGACATTGAAGTAATAAACACATTCAGTTATCCATATCTTTATATCTCCTTCATTGTAACTTGATAGTCCAGTCTTCAAGACCAATTCTTCTTGTCATCAAGGAGTCTATGTCCTATCAGGGTTCTTGTCACCAGTATTTCTATGAATCTGGGGAATGAATGTTCACATGGTCCACAAACACATCCCTGTTTCTGGAAACCAAATCTGCCGGTAAGCCTGTTCCAAAAAGCTCTTCCTCATCTACAGTCAGCCTTTGCATCTGGTCACAGACCCTCCTAAATGGCTGCCATGCCCCAAGTGTTCATAGACCTATGGTCACAGGCCTACCCCTTAATTCATCACAACTCAGAAAAGACCAGGCCACAGTATTTAATAAGACACAGCTGAAGGCTCAACGCACAGAGGGAAAGTTACAATTATAATAAAATGAGAAAACAATGTTCATGTGAGTCATAACCGTCAGAGTTCATATGCTTGGCCCTCCACCAGGTTTCTCAGGGCCTCTCTCTCCTGAGCCGTTTCAACAGCATGTGGTAGAGMGGTCCTTGCTCAGTTCTCACAGATGAGACAAGGCCTGAACATGTATCCATGACTCAAAGTTTAGGCTGCAAATCCTCTAGGTTCCCAGAAACAATTACGTTTTTCCAGAAAAGAAATGTCATATGCAGAGATTTCACCCTCACCCAATAAGAAGGTTTTACATATTATGCAGAGAAATTCAACTCCCCATTTCAGAGCAGTCTTTCCTTTATTCTTATTAAAGAATCAAAGAGCTCATTAAAATGCTTTACTCTGAAGAAGAGAAGTTCATTGGATTAGACAAAGGAGAATGAAGGAAAGGATGGGGGGGAGACAGGAATAGGAAAGATAAGAGAATGAATTGGACATGACTTCCCTATGTTCTTGTATGAATACATCAAATACAACCACAAGAATGGAAAGTTATATTCCATGTATGTATAATATGTCAAAATACACTCTACTGTCACATGTCTCTAAAAAGAATAAATTAAAAGAAAATTCTAAAAAAAAGAAATGTTTGACCCCAAACAGAGTCTTCCTTCAGAGGTAAATTTATGTTCTATCTACAGAAAAACTTACACAGTTGTCTCAAATTCCATTTCATCCTATCAGACCATCTGTTCCAACAATCCTGGAGTCTCACCTCTGCTCAGGAAAGTCCATTAAAAATAAATAAATACAGTAATTTTCATCTAATTCTTTTCTGAAGGCTACTTCTATTTTCTCCTTCCAGAGTTGGCATCAGGGAAATTGAGAGTTAAAAAAAATTACTAAATTGAATATTTACTGGTTCACGTACATAATCTAGTGCTTCTTTCCTCAACTCTCTACTCATAAGGACTCAAGGCCTTCATATCATCTCCAGCCAGCCCCACCCACACTAGTAAATTAACACAACAAATAGTTATGCCAATAGGTCTTTTAATTTGTAAACAGATTAAATCAAGACAGTTGGTGGGGGAAAAACAAACAAACAAACAAAAAATACTTAGAAAACAAGCCTCCAATGCAAGCCTAACTCTGCTCTGTCATCCACCCAGGTAGTCTACCCAGGTAAGGTAGTACGACCATTTCCTCATTGGTGAGCTGAGGAAAATATACTGTTTGCAATTACCTAAAGAAGATAAATTTCCTATAAATGAAATCATTCGATATGTGGCCTTTTGTAAATGTCTTTTTTCACTTTRTATGTTTTCAAGATTTACCCATGTTGAATTGTATATCCATATTTCATTCCTTTTTTTTCTTTTTTTTTTAAACTTCCAAACAAAAGTCTATTCTATGGCTACACCACATTTTGTTCATCCAATCATGAAGGGCAATTACTTTTACCAAGCACKAAATTGATGTTGTTCTATTGGTACCAAGTTCACTTAGGCCTTCTGCAAGTTAAGCACTAGAAGCTATCTTTGTCACTCCACTTTAGTCTCTGGCTACATGAGCCTTCACAATGCCTTCATCTAACCACACAACCTCAGTTTTCCCACACTGCATTGTTACTCCTGGCCTCATACTCACTTTTATATACATAGGCATGTTGCAGTGTATCAATTTATATAATTTTAAGGAAAACCTACATTTCCCTAATAGTTGGAAAACTACCATCTTGGAAGCAAGAAATTGAACAGTAAAATAAAACACAAACCAAAAAATCCAATTTTTTTTTTTTACCTTATTACTGAAGCCCAAGTTAACTGAAAAAAAAATCATAGGTTGAGAGGTTTTTTTAGACAAGTTGAAGTATTTTATTTTTTAAATTTTATTTGAGAAAGAAAAGATTATTCCCAATTATTGTGTCTTAGTCTGTTTTCTCTTGCTAATAGCATAATGCCACAGACTAAAGGGAAGGGAGTGGGCAGGGGGTTAGCAATGATGGTGGAGCGTGATGGACATCATTATCCAAAGTATGAAGACACGAATTGGTGTGAACATATTTTTATATACAGCCTGAGGTATGAAAAAATGTGCTCTATTTGTGTAATATGAATTGTAATGTATTCTGCTGTCATTTATTTTTTAAAAATCAATTTAAAAGAAATTAAAAAAAAGAAAGGAAGTTTATTTTAAATCACAGTCCTGGTCCAAGATCAAAGGGCCACATCTGGCTAAGTGAGCCTGGTAATGGCTTTCTTTACAACAAAGTCCTAAGGCAGTAAAGGGCATCATATGATGAGTGATGGGGAATGTGATAGACCTTGCCAAGTGGCTTTTATAGCAGACCCACTCTTGAGGAGAGCCCATTAACTCACTAATCCATAATAATCTGTATGAACAGATTATTCCATTGAGGGAAGAGCTGTCCTCAGCACTTACTGGTCCCACCTGGTCCCACCTCTTAACCTCTCACAATAGGGAATCAACATGACTTTCTGAAGAGAAAAACCACCTTCAAACCACAGCAGTATCCAATACTCCTGAGTAATCTAAGAGCCAGGTTGGCTCCTATAAAGACTGTGAATCCCATATTGCAAGGTCTCATGAAAGATGAATAAATATGGACCCTTTAGACCAGCAGATCTCTTACAGAACAGTCATTCTATGTTCCAATATGAACGATAGTTCCTCAAAATTCATGACTAGATAAAGAGACTGGGTTAGAAAAAATTAAAAGTATATTTTCAGCTTGGTATCATTCTGAAGGGACATTGGTATGTTAGCTTGGAAATACCTGTGACCTGACATATACACCCAATATTGAATTTGTAATCATGTGTTTAGTATTTAGAGTCACAGACTCTTAAAGAGACATATAGCAAGAAGGAAAAAAAATTAAGAGAGGTCAAAGGTTTCTGCTTAAAGCTGAATAAATAAAGCATACTCATGAATGCTCCAAGTCTAACCAATTTAAAAAAAAAAAAAAACTTTCTGTGGAATAGAGACTTTTTTGTCCAAACATGCCTAGTCCCTGTGTCAAACAGTTAGACCTGTCAGGTGAACATTTGGCAATGTTGTATCTGCAACTCATACAATCCAAGCCAATTCCTGGAGGGAGTCAGCTCTTCAAGGACCTTGTGTGTACAAAGATTAAAGACGTCTATTGGCTATAAATCATCATAGGAATATCCAACTTACTCTTACAGTCTTAGAAAGTGCTAAGTGGCACTCAAATTGTGTCATGATGAACCATGTATAGGCCCATACAGAAAGAAAAATAAATAATAGAGAGTTAATAGGCAATATCCAAGGGTCCTGCTATTATTTTAAAGATATCAACTATGTGTAAAGGAGCAAGATCTTCCTGGAAGGACACAATATCCATATGTGACCCTGATATGTCACTTTGCCTTGTTCTTCCAACAAGATGTTTTAAACATCTAAGTGCTCACTGGATATGTACAAAGCAGATTAATTTTTGCTGCCTTCTCTTGAGAGCTTCAAATGATATTCATTGCAGATAGTGTAAAACTATATACATTCATTTACAAGTGCCACGTCTGACCACTCCTAAGGTGGTAAGCACACGCTAGAAAATTCTAACATCTGGTCAGTAATTGTGGCTATCAATTAAACCCAAACAGCAGTTACTCTCAGATATGTAGAGAAAATTTGTACATGACTGGCAGCCTCAGGCTCTTGATACTGAGATGATCAGTATCATTATTTCTTTACTCTTCCACTAGCCAAGTGAACTCCTGATC